TCTGAGCAGGGTTTTTAACAAACCAAGTGAGTGTGTAACTGCTTGCTCCATATGTCTGAAGGATATTCTTTCCTCCTCCCGCCCCATTTCATTCTGTCGACAACATGCATTTTGTCAAACCTCTTACTGCAAATCATTCAGTCAATGAAACCGAAAGACTTTTCAGCACATTTTTATCAACAGAATGTAATTTTGTGCAAATCATGCTGTCAACAGGAAGGAATGCCAAAAGAAAAGTGAAAGAACCCAAACTCATTTTGTCCACAAAAAAAATAAATTACAGTTTGCTTTTATTTTGTAGACAAAATGGAAATAGAAAAATTTCCCCATCTGGGGACAAAATTGAGATTGAGCTCTTAATTTAGGAGACCAAATGGTAATTGATAGAAAAGTACCAACACTATGAAGGACAGCTGAGATGCTAAGTCAGAAGAATTTTTCCAGCACGGGACACCTCTCACTGTTTTTGTTGCATCAGTGAAATGACACCTGAGATATTTAATCCATTGCAGCAAAATACTCAGTGATGGGCTTGGATACATTGAAGGCAGTCTGAGCTGAAGAAAAACACAGATGCTGTTGCATTTTGCAGCTGATGGATGGCTCGGGTTGCTCTGCAGGTGCGTGTCCAACACTGTGTGGGCACCAAGGCTCCTCACAGCTTTGTGCCATCCCTGCAGCCACCTTCTATTTTTCACCACTGGGATGCTTTCCTCCCTTCTGCTGCTTTGAGTTTTGCTGTTGTTATTACAAAACTTGCCCTTTCAGCAGTTGTCTCTGCCCCTCAGGGCCCAGACTGCCTGGCAGGCTGATGGCTGGCACGCTGTGGCACAGCCTGGTGGGCACTAAAGCTCTGCAGGACAAAGCAAAGTCTGGTTTCACTGCCTTGCAATTGCTCTCCATCACAGCACTGGAACCACTTTCTACCTCCCAACAACTAAAGGGCCTTTCTTGCTGGTCCACACTGGATTCCTGCCTGGACCTCTGTTAATGCCCAGCAAAACCCAACTAGGCAAAACGCCTGGCTTCTCTAAAGATGAGGTGAAAATTGGCACCTGGGAGAAGGAGGTTACAGGAGGACATTAAAACATTTGTTTTCCTACACCTACTCCGGATTAATTCAAGGTGTGCTCAGCTGATTGTGATTATGAGGTTATTTTTTATATGGATGGCTGTTCAATTCTTTTTAGCGCTTCGATACTATTTTTCTATGGAGTGGAGTTATTGCTTAATATGGTAAAAAACACAATAACCTTCCTGGGGTTTTTGGAGAATTTCACTGTGTTTTCAGATCACCTTATCCCTTCCAGTTCTTCAGTGAATTGCTCAAATAAGGCCTTGGAGAACTGACAGTCCCAAAGAGTTTGTATGGGGCTGGAGGAGCAGAGACGCTGGCTATTATCCAGCATTTTAGAAATCAGAATGAGACTTACCACATGCCATTTTGGTACACACTGTGGGGGACCACAGATCATTTTCTCCATCAGTCCCCAGTCTTTACTGGGGAAAACGATGCTCCAGCCAAATTCCCCAAGTCCTGCTCATCCACTAGAGAGGGATGCAGGGAGAGAAGGTACGCATTGTGCGGCATTAAAAATGTAACTGCTTTGAGCCGCGGGCCAGCGCACTGACACCAAAAGCTGGCAGCAAATATGTCAGAGGGATCACGAAGTTGGCATGAGAGGGTTTCAGCTAATACAAGAGATTATTTTCAGGGCCTCATTGCGTGCCAAGCACAACACAAAGCTGGCCTCAGAGAGAGCACTTCTGCCGGAGCCGTGGGGGTGGCAGCGGAGCAGAGCAGGCGCTCGGGGAGAAACCTGGCCCAGGTTTTTATCTGGGACAGCACTGGGGCTCAGCAGGGAACAGCTACTTTTTGGCTGTGTGTCACTGCTGTGTGTCCAAGCCAGTGTCTATTTGCAGTGGTCTGCCTAAAGTGCCTCTGGGCTGGGTCACTTTTCTGAGCCCTCTTCTTGCCTTCACGCAGCATTAGGAGAGGGAGCCGGTGCCTCCCTTCGGCTGCACCAGGCTGCTCAAGTGGATTTCAGATTTGAAAGCCATCATTTTTATCAACATCAAGGACCTCCTCCTGTTTAATCCTTACCTGCCTTTCTACCCAAAGCAGCCCCAAAGGCAAGAAAGCATTCATTAAAGTCATAGTGTCACTTTAAAGGTGATAGATAGCTTCAGTGGGAAGAGGTATCTTGAGGAATGAAAAATTAATTTCATGCCATTTTTCTGTGCACTTCTCAAGATATCTTCTTGGTTGTGCCAGCAGTGCTGTATATTGGAGGTAGGGGTCTTATCTGTGAGGAAGAGACAGCAAGCACTGCAAAATATTTATTTGGTCTGGATGGACAGAAATTTTCCTTCTTTTAAGAGCTGTTATTTCGAACCTTTCTGGCATGAAATGGCCTCAACCTGATCAATTCTGCTGGTGTGTGTCACAGGGTTTTTGAATAAGCATGGAGAACAGAGAGACTGAAAATTGTGCATCCTCCTTCCCTCAAGACTGTGGCACTCAGGATTGAGGTCTTGCAATTAACCTGTTTTTTCTTTTTATGTTGGCTTCAGCTTGCACAGATCCACATTGGACACATTGTCCCAGCCGTGTCCAGCCAACCCCACCTTTCCAATAGAATTTTGAACAAAAGAGAGGAAATGAAGACCTGGGAATTTCCATGTTTTCATGGCTGATTTTTTGTTTGCATGTTACACAATTAACTCCCAAGGAAAGATGGAAATCTTACATTAATGTGAAATGAGAGTACTCAGCTGCAGGACACCTGGAAATCAAATCAGTAATTGCTAACACAGAGGTAGATTGTAAATTCCCTGCTGGAATTCACCCACATCTTCGTTCAACAGCAACAATAAAGTGATGGCAGTGGTGATCAGAATCAAATATTTAGATCGCAACCTGTTGCTTGCCTGTTTTTCTGCCAAATGCAGCCCATCAGCATGTTTAATTCAGAGTGAAAAATCGAGCAGAGAACAGGAAAAAAAACAAGGGAGAGGATTTGAGTGGTTACTCCATGGCTCAGCAGCAGCTTCTGCAAAAACCTCGTGCATCTTGGGGGGAGTCAGAGCAGCGCCTGCACTGCTTCCCCTTCATCCCAGGGGAGTGGAGGCTGCAGATGTGTGGTGGAGAACAAGCTGCCTGTTCAGTCAAGCTCCTGACCTCTCCACCCAAGCAGCTTGCTGAGGCTCACCCTGGTCCACTAATGTCCCTGGAGCCATGGAGGTGGTTGTGAGGCTCCTGGGGTAAACCTGGGCTTGGGATGAACACCACAGCTGACCTGCTCCAGGTTAACCTACTACTTGCACCAAAAATTCTGAGTTCAAAAGGAGTGACAGAGCTGTGGGGAGGTGTGTAGGAGTACCCTGAGGGTCACCTGGACAAGATTGGCTCTCACCCCTTCTGCCAGGAATGGTGATTTGTTTTGAAATGCTGAATTCTTGTTAATAGAAACCTGGAAATCTGGTCATTTGTTTGAAAATGGCAAAAGCCAGCTCATGGCAATTTCTCACAGACAGACAGACAGAGCAGTTCAGACTGAAGGCACATCAGCAGATTTCCAGTCCAGGCTCCTGCTCAGAGCAGGAAAAACACTGAATTCAGCTCAGGTTGCCCAGGGCTTTGTCCAGCCCAGCACTCCAAATGCAGCCTCTGTGAAACTTCTGATATGGACAGGTCTTATGGTGAATCATTACCTTTTTTTTAACTCTTTTGTTAGTTGGAACCTTCCCGCTTTCAGTTTATCACCCTTATCTCTCATGCTCCCCCCATTAACCTCTCTCTCACTTAGGGCTGATTTTCTTGCATATATGTTATGTGATAGAAGCTTTCAGTAAAGGGAGTCATGCCTTCAGTAATTCTAAGTGCATTTCAGGGAAGCAAAAATACAACTTTCAGGCAGAGGTATTGGTTATGCAGCCAATTAATTTATAGTGGCATTATGGGGGAGTGTGGACCTATGAATCCCAAGCAATTCTCTGTGTTCTGCTCTATATCAAGAATCTAAAAACCCTTTAAATGTCTAACATTTAAAAAATATATATAACTTCCAACGTGCAAAAGTAGAAAATGTTCACAGGCTTTGATGCTGGCACTTTACATTGCTGTGTTTTGGGGCTTTTTTGCCATAATGAAATCAGTTCTGTTAATCACTGTTCTCAATACAGAACTTTCTTCATTTGAACTGCAGTTCAGAGGAAAACAGTCCTTGGTTTAATCCCTGTCCCAAAATACCTGCCACTGAATTCAGAGATGAACATCATACCTTTTTGCTAAAAGAGGAGTTCAGTTCCCTCATGCTCACTGGATCTGGACCTGACATCATATCAGTCTTGGCAATCTACAAAAAAACCCCAGAGATTTTCAACCCAAAAACCGCCTGTATGTTAAATTATTACTTCAAAAAATGAATCTGGAGCAGGTATCAGCAAGGCTAGGGAAATCAGCAGAGCCTGGCCTCTCTTACTCCTCTGGAACAGCTGGCATTCCAGGAAAGATGCCAGCAAAGGACTCTGGGGTGATTTCTGCCAAGCTGAGTTTTTAATTTGTGTAGTTACATGACTGAATGCAGTGTAAATCTTTACGGTTCAAAAAATGAGTAAAGAAAACTAAATTTTACCAAAACCCACAAGATTTAGACAGGGTGCTTTGGCTCCTACTTCCCCTTGCTCTAACACCTTTAAGCCAAGCTGGAGGGCAGTGGAAGTGAATTGGAAACCGAGGGATTTTACCCTAAAGATTATTAACAGGAACTGGTAATAATGAAATAATAAAATCCTGGGATTCTTCTTTCCCTTGTGAGAAGTCCTGAGAAGCTGGAGTGAGGGCTGTGGGAAGGGACAGAGCCTTTCAGTTCAGCAGACACAGTGGGTTCATCCTTAGAACAGTGCCTGTGAAAGACATTTTGACAACAGTGAGCTGCCCAAATGCACTTAGAGTTTCTCATCACCTCTATTTCATGCTTTCCTCACTGTTCTTTTAGGCCATGCTGCTGATCAGTGCCAGTGCCCAGGATGCCCTGTGGTGATTGTGTGATGTCTGGGGTGTGCTCTGAGCTCTACACCTGCTTTCAGAAGATGGTGCCCACCTTTCCCTGCAGGAAGCACTGCCAGTTCTCCTACAGAGCCAACAAGCTCCCAGGCACAGCTATTTTAATGAGCAGGACTCAGGCTCTCCTCCAGTCCAGGCTGTCTCCTCCAGGACTCCTCAAAGGCTCTCACTTTGCATCTGAATTGCACTGGCTTTTAATGCATCCAGCAGATTTACACCTGCTTGTGAAGCCAGCCAAGAACATTTTGAAAGTACCTGGCCTATAATTTTGGCCACTCTTTGCCCGCTGTGCATTTCCCTGGTACACAGAATGAACTCATTCACTTCAGCTATTTGGATACACACCTCTCTTTTCCAAAACTGCTTGGTCTATTTTAACATAACTTTCAAGAACATCCCTTAGCACAGAGAGTCATTGAGAGCACAGCACCAGCAAAGCACCTGACAACCAGCTGCATTGCTCCAAAACTGATTTACTGCAAGGGGATTTGTGGAAAAAGGGATTTAACATGCCTCCTCTTCCAGAATAAATGACAGTGCAAAGCTGATCTGCTTTCCGGTTTGTTTGACTCACACGTTTTATACGGCACGTGTCCCTGCAGGAATTTATTAAAACACACCAACAATTACAGCATGGAAAGAGATGCTGTGGCCTGGTGCCTTCAGCCAGGCTTTGGCTGAACTGCAGGGATGACAGTGCCACACACTTGATGTGTGTGTGGCCTCTGGGAGTCACTTGGCATCCAGGAATGGAAAGGTGAAAGGTGGCCTCAGTCCCCTCTCCTCTCCCCAGCAGCCCAGGACTGCTGCACACTCAGCCAGGTCAGGAACAATCCTTGTCCCAGGGGCACAGGATTAATTAATTTGCCTGGACAATGGCATTTTGGAGATGCTGCACTCTTGTCTAATTGCCAGGGACTGTAATAGGTCCCAAGTGCATCTTGTTCACTACAAGAGCGATGCTGCACAGGCAAAACCATCTCTGGGCTCTCAGACTGCTGCATTATTGCTGTGGCAAAAGCTTATGTGATGGCAAGAGCCCTTTGAAGGCAGCAAATCAGCCCTCAGATATCAAAGATTTGTTCTGGTTGCTGCAACATGCAAAGCTTTCTTTCTACTGCAGCATCTCTGGGTTAACCTCTGCCTTACATTAAAGCTGGCATCAGAAATGCCAAGGCCCTGATGGTGAAAGGGAATTTTTGAGAAACTCATCACTGTGTGTCCAGAAATGCTCCAGGCAGGATCCTGATCCTCAGGAAAATCTGAGGATGGAGATGTGAGACTGATTCTTGCTTTTTCTCCAGCTCAGCCTGCATTATCAGTTTAGAAACCTATGAAAGAGACTGGAGAGCACACAGCCAGAGCAAAAGTGAAATTCAAAAGGGAGGTGAGAAAGAGGGGGATGCAGGTCCCTGCTTCTTAGAGGAGCAGGCAGAAAGGAGCAGGCACTACCTGCTGCAGCTGTTTGGAGACAAGGGCTTGTCTCTCCCACACTGTGCTCCAGTGAGTCTCAAATGGAGACAAAAAAATCCACCCATCAAATCTCTTGGGCACCACTCTCACCCTGACAGTGCTCCAGACATCTAGCTCACATTCCCTGCAGAAGTCCAAGGGTGCAAAACACAACAACCCCCAAAGCAGCAGCACAGTGGACACTGCAAGGGGCTGGCTGGAACCAGCAGGGAGTGTCTGCTGTAGGAAGGGAAGGATGAAAACATGGGGAGAAGGGAATTGCAGTGGCATATGGAGAACTGTGACAGTGTGGGAAAGAAGGCTTAGGAAAGGCTGCTGAGGCACAGGGTGGTGGAAGGGTGTGCAGAGGGAGGTGCAGAGGGTGCTGAGAAGCAGAGCTGTGGGGGGCTGTAGGAGAAGGGCCATGGCTGAAGGCACAGCAATGAAAAGTGTCACCTGAGTCCTTCTGCAGCAGCCAAGGACCAGAGCAAAGCCCAGAGCAGCACCTGAGCTTGCCTGGAGGCAGTGACACCCCTTCCATCAGTCAGGCTGATTTGTCACATCCTGGCAAGTTTCCTGTGTGCTCCAAAGGGCTTTGGTGACACTGGTGACATCGTGCAGCCTGAGAGCTGTGCAGGGGTCCATTCAGTCCTTACCCAAACATGCCCCACTTCTCTGGCAAGCACCCACATCTGCCTTAGCTGGGGCCTGTGCTAAGCTCCCCTTGGGTGTCTGACATCCCTGGTTCTCACCCCACTGTCCCCATCCACCCAACTCGTCCCACTGCTCCTGTGGAGAACAAGCCCTGAGGTTTTGCACAAAGGAAGTCCCTGGAGAAACACAGGTGAGGGACTGGAGTCTTAGATGCAGTGTAGAGATATGAAATAAAAAAATAAAGCAAATTCTGCAGTGCTTTCTCAATTCTTTCTGTCGTTCTCATTTCCTGTTGCTATGCCATTCCCCAGGCAAGTACAAAAGGAACAGCTTCCTCAGCCACAAAAAATGAGATTATTCAAAGAGCTCCTCTGTCTTCTCATATTTATTGTGATAGGCAGTGTTAGAAGTGTTTGACAACAACTCAATTATTCGCAATGAATAGAGGCAGGATAGGCAGGCAATTATCCACTTTACCCATGTGAGAGACACCCATATTCAAAATCCACATTCAGAGAGATTCACATTATTTCCAAACCCTTTTGCATATTTTTAATTACCAGCTTCCATTTAGCTGGATGGTTATGACTCCAATCAGTGTGCTTTGGAAGGGCTGAGCACTTGGGCTGGAGCCAGGCTTGCTTTGTCTCATTCACATCAGCACTCCAGTGTCAGCATTTTGGGTTAGATTTTTGAGAAGCAGCCTCCAGAATGGTGCACATCAGTAGAAAAACATGACTCAAAATTTTAATCAAGATACAAGAAACGTGAAGCGTCTCCTTAAATACAGATTTCAACAAGGTGAAAAAATTACGTGGAAAATTTCTATCAGATGAGATTTTCTTGAATATTTAGATTTTTTCAGAGCTTACCTTCTAATCCAATCTTTTCATGCAAATTTTTTTACTTAATATTTGGAATATTTCTCTTCATATTTTGAGAAACCTGAACTTTTTTTTTCTGAAGGAAATATTTCTAAGGGTTTAATTTTATTTACAAAGTGGGAGCATTTCACAACTGCTGAAAATCTAGATTCTACGCCTTTGCAGTGCATATATGTCATTCTGTATTATTTGCTCCCAAACATGACAGAAAAAAAAAATGGTGAAATGCATCTTAGACCATGGGTCTGCTCACTTTTAAGATTTGAAATTGGACTTTTACATTCACTGTTGTGTGTGTTACCAGAGTATTCTGGCTATAAGAATCCATATTTCCCTGGGTGAAAGTTTCCAAGTTTCACAGTATTGGGATTATTCTTAATTTTTCAGCTGCTGGAAGCATGGGATTAAATAGGATTCACACTTCTCTTAAAGAACACCTTAAATCTTTGAATTAAGCATAATTTCGACTATTATTTAAGTGCCCTTGTACCTTCATTCATAATTTTTAAGGTACAACCTTTCTGTTCCAGTGCCATCATTTAATAAAGTTATTCCCAAGGAATAACAAGGATCCATGGTATTTTTCACAGCTTCTTTAAGTTTTTACCGTACCCAGTTCAAACTTAAAACACTTCCAAGTGCTGACACATCCCAGAGCAGCCAGGCTTCCAGCACACAGGCTGATCCTGAATGCACCAACCCAGCTTCAGCTGTGCCAGCTGGGAAGATTGGGACAAAGGAGAAAAAGGATCAACAGCAAAAGCTTCCCATGGCTGCCTCTCCAGAATAATGTTTGAGGCTCTACACAAACTGATAATTCAGTGAACTCTCAGTTTCCATCCTTGCTATGTACTTCTCTTCCTTTTCAATTTCATTCCATGCCTCTCATCAATATTCCCCAAAATGGTGACTGTGAGCTGGACAAAGAGCTCATCATGCCTGGACCTCACCAAGGTCAAGGACAAGGACATCTCCCACATTCTTGTAGGACTCCCCCAAATTTCTCATCACCACCAGCTCTCCAAACCCCCAGTTCCTCACTGCCTGGCTGGGCTGAGCTGCAGCCAGGATTGCTGCAGAAACTGGGAGCCTGGAGAAAAACTATGCAGAAGAATGCCAGTAAAAAATGAGCAGAACTGCTCCAAATTTTTCTTTTTCATTCCTACAGCAATATGTCCTTAAGGAAATATCTGCTGTCAAATTTGACATTGCCTTGTCTGTGTGGCACCACGTTGTGATTTCCCTGTGTGTGCTTCGGGTTCTGCAGCACTGCTGCTCTTTAAGGTAGTAGAGGCAAAGCTCCCTTGAGCCAAGGAGGCTTGGATCAGCTCTTAAAAGTTTCAGGGCTGTGACTATTATTTAATTTTTATATTTTCCTTCTCTTTCTCCCAGAACATCAATAAGAAAACTTGTTCAGGGAAATCGGGGTCTGTATTTGCATATTTACACAGTAACATTAAGGGTAACGTTGGCTCATGTTTTACAGTGTGTTTGTTTTCACTGTGCAGATTTCATCTGCTCAGGGGGATCAGTTATTTGACCTATATTAATATTTAATGGTACAAATACTTAAAATAAAAGTCCAGGCACAGCCAAGGCTTTTGGCAACTCTGCTTTAAACAGCCACCCTTCGCTAAAATCTGGCTCTGCTTGAAAGGTTTTGATTTCTTGCAGGGATTGAGAAAAAAGAAGCAGTGCTTTTGATGGCTGTTTCATGACTGCTGGAATATTTTCTTGCTTAATATTGTTGTACACCAAGTCTGCATTGTAAAGGACTTTTGTACAGTTCCTTATTTACTGAGCAGAGGAGATCTGCAGAAAAATGAAAGAGAAAAATCTCAGCTGGAATAATAAAATCGATCATTGTATCAAAGCAATGTCTGTTTTTGCTTTGCAGTCAGGCTAGACCAGTTTTCAGCATGGCCAGTTACTGACAATGTAATAAAATGTAGTTTCTCTCTTTCTTGTTTCCCCACACTAGTATCTTCTTAAGATTTTCAGAAAAGACTGTAAAAAGATATTATTCAACTAACTCTGTCCTCTTCCAAAACAAGGTTCTCCTGGGTTACCATAATTATATCTGTTTCAACCAAAAAGCAATCTCTTCTGGCATGCCTGTAAAAGAAAATTTAACCTATGAAAAGCATGGAAGACTCTTAGTGTTAGGATAAATTATCTGTATAGTACAGTCCAGACTATAGATATTTATTTATTATTTACTATAAAGCAGCATGAAAGCAAGTGGCTCACTCTGGATCAACCAGCTGCTTTTTAGTGCCTTTCTCAATAATCCAGCATATGTCAGCTTGCCTTTCACTCCATGCATGGGGAAGAATATCCCTGTGTCTACCTTTCATGAACAAAATGCATACTTTTGCCTCAGGCTAGGGATGTGTCAAGAAGAGAAGGAAAAAACATAAACCAAGCCTCTCAAGAAAGAAAAGCAATCTTTAGAAACACACTCAGCGTAACTATATAAGAATCCTGAAAGCTGACGACATAAAGAAAGGGAAAAAACCAAACTCAAAGCAAATGTGCAAT